TCTGCCCCGGGCGCCAATAACTCTGGTTACGCCACTGCTGCGTTCAGATGTATTTAAAAAAAAAAAAAGAAAAATCTGTACCCACGGTCTAAGGTATGGACTGTATTTTACACTGTACGCATGTTTGTGCCATTGTTTACATTCGTACAGCGCAAATGCACTCTGTTTGAGACACCTGCATCCTAGCAACCAAAGGACACTAGGTGGCACAAGCTGCCTGTGTCCTAGCAACCAAAGCACACTAGATGACAGAAGCTTTCTGCGTCCTAGTAAGCAACAGACACTAGGTGACATAAGCTTCCTGCGTCCTAGCAACCAAAGGACACTAGGTGGCAGAAGCTGCCTGTATCCTAGCAACCAAAGGACACTAGGTGGTAGAAGCTGCCTGTGTCCTAGCAACCAAAGGACACTAGGTGGCAGAAGCTGCCTGTGTCCTAGCAACCAAAGAACACTAGGTGGCAGAAGCTTTCTGCGTCCTAGCAAACAAAGGACACTAGGTGGCAGAAGCTGCCTGTATCCTAGCAACCAAAGGACACTAGGTGGCAGAAGCTGCCTGCGTCCTAGCAAACAAAGGACACTAGGTGGCAGAAGCTGCCTGGGTCCTAGCAACCAAAGGACACTAGGTGGCAAAAGCTGCCTATATCCTAGCAACCAAAGGACACTAGGTGGCAGAAGCTGCTTGCGTCCTAGCAAACAAAGGACACTAGGTGGCAGAAGCTGCCTGCGTCCTAGAAACCAAAGGACACTAGGTGGCAGAAGCTGCCTATTTCCTAGCAACCAAAGGACACTATGTGTACAGCTTTTTTGACAAGTACTTGGACTTGATCAGATGCAGCTTCTCTCCAGCATCCCTATGTGGCCACGCCTTGCACAATGCACACGCACTCATGGTATTTAATTCATCATTAATAAGGTAGCACAGATAACCCTAACGCTGCATCCAGCTTCACAAAGGGCCCAGTGTCGGGTCAGGACTTCTTCAAAGCTTGAAAAGTCCCTTGTTCATCACCGCAGACCATGAGGAGGACCCATAACCAGGCACGTGGTCAGCACAAAGAAGCATCATAATGGTAGAAAGATATATTTATATACCGTGATCCCTATTCTGCATCCACAGGATTACACAGTCATGAAAAAGACCTCAGAAGGTGGACAGAACTCCATTATGGGTCCTTCACATTCCTTCCTGATTCCAAAGGACGACAAGAAGATCCTAGAAGCCACCAAGAAGATCATAGAGCTGCTGACAGGAGAGGTGAGCGGTGTCAGGGATTCTGGGACGTGGTCCAGGAACAGACAAGGGATGTGTCTGGATGGTGACAGTATCATTGTGTGTGTCAGGTTCCTATACGGTGTCAGGATGTCTCTGTCTATTTCTCCATGGAGGAGTGGGAGTATCTAGAAGGACACCGGGATCTCTACAAGGACGTCATGATGGAGAATGAGCCGCCCCTCACATCACCGGGTAAGAGGAGAGAGCAGTACGTAGGGTCCACCTAGACAGTGAGGAGGAGATACTGTACACCATATGAAGGTCCATCTCCATTCCTCAATATAACGTCATGTCCCCAACAAATGAGGAGATACTGTACACCAGGGCTCAAAATTTCAGGTCCTGAGCTACTAGCCAGGCCTTAAAAGTTACTCGCCACCAGTTGCCTTGCCTGACCCCACTCCATCCTATTCTACTTGTGCACAGATATACCAAGTGTACCTGGGAACAAACTAAACATTCTCTTGCTGGACCAATACCGGCCATTGCACTAACACACACACGACACAACACGCGCAGCAGAACACGTAGGGCATTACACGCAGCACCACATGCAGGGCATACACGCAGCATTACACGCAGGCCATACACGCAGCATTACACACAGGGCTTACATGCAGGTCTGCTGATCGATCATCTATGGCTGGACGAGCAGCTGCCTCTGTTCATGACAGTGCCAGAGTGAGTCGATAGCTTCATTTCCACTCGCCCCCATGCAATTTTCACTCGCAATTTGCGAGGGGGCGAGTGGAAATTTTGAGCCCTGCTGTACACCATATAAAGGTCCATCTTTATTCCCCAATATAACCTCATGTCTCCAACACATGAGGAGGAGATACTGTACACCATATGGAAGGTCCATCTCCATTCCTCAATATAACGCCATGTGACCAACAAATAATGGAGGAGATACTGTACACCATATGGAAGGTCCATCTCCATTCCTCAATATAACTTCATGTTCCCAACAAATGAGGTGGGGAAGGTCCATCTCTATTGGTTGTCATGTACACCTTCTAAATTCTATTTTTGTGTTGGTGATATTATTGTACGGAGTTCGGTGTCAGGCCTTTGGGAAACATTTTATTATTAGAGTAACATACATGACTCCTGACTGTAAAATATGAACAATGAACATGTTACTAATATTTCATCAGGTGGACACGATGGCTGGAATACCTCAGAAGGACACACTTTACCTCCAGATTTTAATGAAGAAGATGGCATGGCACAATACTCTCCCGGACTAAACCTGGTCAACCAATATATACATCACAAACTTGATCATATGGTGAGAACAAAAGAGTTGTTGAATTCCGAGGAAGCCAATGATAAGTCACATGCTCTTATCCCAGATGTCCAACCACCAAGCTGTCAAAGCACAGAAGGATCACCAGACCCTTCTAATCCTGAGGAACCTTCTTCCAATACTTTGGATACAGCTACAAAGAAAGACAATAAGATATTTTCATGTTCTGAATGTGGAAAAGGTTTTAAATCAATCGCCTCTCTCAGTGGACATCAGAGGACACACACGGGGAATGGTCCGTTTTTCTGCTTGGAATGTGGTAAAGGTTTCACCCGGAAGCGCGCTCTCGTTTTTCACCAGAGCTCCCACACCAACGAGGGCCCGTTCCCTTGTCTGTATTGCAACAAACCCTTCATGAAAAAACATGACCTGCTCCAACACCAGAAGCTGCACGTCCGTAAACCGCCCATTTCTTGTTCCGAGTGCAAGAAGTCCTTCAAAAATAAACAAGAACTTGTTCAGCACCAGAGAATTCACACCGGGGAAAAGCCCGTCTCGTGTCCTGAGTTCATGGAGGAGAAAGAAAAGACTTCTGTGAGGAGTGATCAGCTGCCTGTGCAGGAAGATGAAGTGATCACAACCATAATAAAGGAGGAATATTTTCTAGATAACAACACGGGTAAGTATCAGACACAAAGTGCCGCACTTCACATTTTGAATGGTAGACCAGCGAAGTATACCGGCGAGAAGCCCTTTTCCTGTTCCGAGTGTGGAAAGTGTTTCTCCAATAAAGGAAACTGTGACAAGCACATGAGAATTCACACCGGGGAGAAGCCATTTTCCTGTTCAGAATGCGGCAAATGTTTTGCACAGAAGGTGACGCTAATTCTCCACCAGAATAAGCACTCCACCTGAGGCTGCTGAGAAACCTATGGTGGCCTTTTGTAGGCCCAAATAGTTGATTAATGATGAGGCAGTTTAAAAGATACTGGATATTTTAGTCATATTTGTTTTGGTGCAATCTCGTTTTTTTTCAACCAAAAGTTATCCGCTGATTTAAAATGTATTGCAAACATTTGTGCTGTTTTGATTTTTACCTCACAAGGCATTTTTGTAGTGCACCAGCCCAGCACCTTCTCCCACCTTCTGCCAGTAACCTGTTAGGATGACACCCCCTGGCAAGTGACACGTGCTTCCCTGAGGGGCAGAGTCTAAGTACCAGCCGGTGTTCACCAGAGCTCCTGATGGTGGAGATGGGCTTGGCTGCTTGCTGGTACCAGGTCGCGGTCCCCAGGGTTGCTCCGCCAAGGGATGGGCTCCAATGAGGAGACAGTAGTCAGATCCAGGCAGAGTTCAAGGCAGGCGGCTAGCATAGGGTGGTCAGACGGTCCAACGACGTCAACTAGCAATCAGAGGATAAACGCAGGAGATGAGCAAAGTCCGGGGCGGGCAGAAGATCAGGGCGGGCAGCAAGCGTAGAAGGGTCAGACAGTCCGGGTCAGCAATGAGAAAACAGCAGAAGTATAAGCTCTTTCAGAAACAGGAAGCTGGCAAAAAGACACAGACGGCCGCTATGGGGCCCGGCCAGATGCCGAGCGGGCCCCCTTGGTCGCTATGGCATCCTCTGCTGGTGGCTTTCACTGGCGGCTCTGAAGAAGAATGCGCTGCTGTTCAGATCATTGACCGTAATCTGTGCAGCAGCGCGTTCGTCTCCAGAGTCAATGAGAACCAGCAGCGGCGGTGGAGGAGGCCGGACCCGGCAGTGAAGGAGGAGGCGGGGCCCGTGGTCGACAGCAGGGGAGGAGGCAGGGCCCGGTGACGGAGAAGGAGGCAGGCCCGGCGACGGAGGAGGCGGGGCACATTAGCGAGCGTGGAGGAAGAGGAGGCGGACAGGTAAGGAGTGCGACCAGCCCACCCGAGGGCTACGCTGTAGAGCCCACCATAGAGAGTCTATGGTCGGCTCTGCAGGGTCACCCTCAGGTGGGCTGTGTGGGATCTCAAGTGGGCTCTGCAAGGGGTATAACTAGAAATCACAGGGCCCCATACAAAATTTTGCTATGGGGCCCTGTGATTTCTAGTTACCCCCTGCCTCACAGGTATTCTGAGCTTACCATAACATAACCAGATGATCTGGGAACCCTGATTCTCAGACACACCCACTGCATGATCCTTGCTGTGTCTCATTTACCAAAAGCCCTGTGTATCAAGGGAGGCTTTAGTCAGAAGTGACGGCGGATCTGAGGAACATCTAGGTCCATATAATATGAAGAACTCTAGGTTTGGTAGTGTCAGCAGAGCGGTTAGGTTTCTCTCAAACAAGGTTTTTCCTCGACCCACTGAGGGACTGTTGATGAAAACCTGAGGTGAAGAAGGAAAGGAGAGTCAAAGGGGTCACTCAATGAGGTGGGTAGGTGATTTCATACGATTGTCTGTTTTCAGTAGAAATCCAACGCATTTAGGAGGTAATAGAACCTCCCTTCTGAAGAAGGGAGATTCTATTACCTCCAAAATGCGTTGGATTTTTGTAAGGGCTTGGATGTGCATTGACTCGGCAGTGTTAAGGTGGCCATACACTCTACAACCATCGCAAGACTTTAGTCTTGCGATGGTTGTAAAGGGATTAAAAAAACGTACGATCTGCCTATCTTGGACAGGCAGATCGCACTCTCGATCATCGCAAGCCCGCCCCCCTGAGGGGCGGGCTTCCGATGACCGCAATGCTGAACGGGCCGTGTGCGCGTGCGCACAGCGGCCCGTTCAGCATTTGTCTTCCGAGCACCGTTCTAACCAGCCGAGAATCGTACGATTCCCGGCTGGTTTTCGAACATGCTGGTTCGACAGAAGACGTGCGACCGTACAGTAGAAACGGTCGCACGTCTCCGTTCACACTGCTCGATTATCGTACGAAAAACCGATCGCATACGATTATCGTACGATAATCGTGCAGTGTATGGGCACCTTTAGGTACAGCTGCTCTCTTCCACTTCCATTTCTCTTTCCACTGCCAAGTCAATCACTCTACTGCACATCATCTCTCCTGCCCTGAAGGGGCAGGACAACTCAACTGATGATTAAAGACAAGTCTTTTCACCTGACTACCTCATCAAGTCATCCTTTTGGCACACCTTCAGTACTGAGATCTTTCCTGCAGACATAGGTGATGAAACAGAGGTAGAAGATGTGACACAACCCATATTAAGGAAGCAGACCCACCTACCCCACATGTGAGGAACACTTTGGAATCTGGCTGCAGTGCATTACGTAAAACTCAAAATTTCTGCCCTTGTCTGTGTTCCTCGTGAGGAGATTTCCCCACTTCCTGTTGTGTCACCAGGACAGGAGTTGAGGGGAAATCTCTCCAACAAGGAAATAAATAATGGGGGGGTTCCTCCTTACTTCTTGGCCTACCTACCTACTGAACATTGCCGTGGTGTAGGTCTGCCAGACATAAACCTCTACTACAGGGTTTGGGAACCTTTGCTCTCCAACTTCAAATGCCTCCGTGAGCCATGTCTGTGCCTGTCACCGTTTTGCAATGCCTCATGGGATTTGTAGTATTACCACAGATGGAATGCCGAGGTTGCCTACTCCTGTTTTGCTAGGAAGCGTCTCATTTTGTGTGTGTTGTTGACTGGTGCCACCACCACACCAAATACTGGGCATAAATAGGACAGGACCATTCCAAAATATCCCTATAAAAACCACTGAGTGAGGTGAGGAAAAAGACCCATGAAGGCCGTAGATCCATCACCCCAACATCAGGGCAGGCCCCAGGAAAGACCTGCACCCTATGTAGTAAATACATAAGGTGCCATGTGCAGGACACAGCAGCCCTCGCGATATACAAATCCCTCCAGACTAGACAGAAGACAATATGGTGATGTGACCATGTGCCACACCGTGGGGTCCCACACCCATTGTGTTTCTCTGGCACCTCTGGGATGCAGGGGGGATCATCATTGGAAACTCCTTGCGGTTCCAACCCCTGGCCAGACAAGTGCCGGCCCATTCCTACCAGAAGGCATTGGCACTGGAGGGGTTCCTGCCTACAACTTGCAAGAAGTCTGGTTCACCGGGCCGGCATCAACCCAGGAGGAAAAGGGCCCCCAACACTAGGAAATACTAGACCTGAAGGAGAAGACTTTGTTCTTCCCCGAAAACTGATTGGAACAGATCATAGACTTGATCTAAGCCAAAAGGCCGGGACAGGTCTTAACGGGGAACCGGTAAATATATATATATGGAACAGTGGTCAACATGGGTCACTGGCCAGAGGTCCCATTATAATGGTGAAGTAGCTGCACTCAGGGCCACCTACCGGACGTGTCTTATTAGTACTGCTCCAGGGGGCAAATGCCAAACCTCTGCCCCCCTCACCCCAATCCTCATCTGCTGCTTACCCTTTATAACATCAACAATGCCAACATTATCTTTTCAATGACATCACACTATCGACACACATTCTCCATCTGAAGGCCTCCCCTGAAAAATACCATCACAGTGTCTCCTTTCATAGGGTATAGTAAAATAACCGAGCCCTGCCTTTTGGGAAGAAGTCAAAGGGGGGGGGGCGGTGTTGCTGGATGACGAGCAGTGACGTCACTGGTTGCCAGGAGCTCGCCTGGACGTCTGGAAGAGTGTCCCAGGTTACTAATATCTGGGAGAGGAATGGAGATGGACCTTCCATATGGAGAGATGTGTGTGGCCCTTACATGGCTCTTAGGAACCTCAACTATTGTGCAGCAGAGCCATGGCCGCGTCACTCTGCCTACCGCCCCCCAATGTGAGCGAAAGAGCTGCTGCCGGGGGAAACGCCTCAGGCTGGCTCATTATAAGGACGCCCTGAGCATTGCAATGACCTGCCGCCAACTGAGGTGATGGAGGAGAACATACACAAGGTGCCATTACTTCTAGCATACCAATGCTGGTGACATATGGGGGACTACTATTCATTCAGTGGGGGGGGGGCGCATTAAGGAACTTGGCCTTGGGGCAACAGAGAGAGTAAATCCGGCCCTGCCTGGACAGTCCGTGTTTTGAGTCCTGTATGTGCCGTGTCCGGGTTTTAGCTGGACACAGGACTCAAAACCCGGACTGTCCAGGTGATTCCGGGTTCCACGTCCAATCTTTATTTTTCACTGACTTTATTGTTCCGAATTTGTTATTTTACACGATTCGGATATAAACTCATTGGTCTCTCGGTGACCTCTAATGCTTTAAATAAAGGATTACAAATAAACCAAAAAAAAAGAGGAATTGGATAACATAAATATACAAAAAATAATATTATCTCAAAATATAATAAACAATTATGTGGGGTGTTTTTGTTGATTTACCGGTGTTGCCTTCAGTTTGAAAAAATAAAACCTAAGCCTGTTGCTTTGTTATGTTTTTGGGTGATTTAAAAAACAAAAATTTTGTTTGTTTTTTTTTACAGAAAAATAAATGAATTTAAAGCGATATTACACTTTAAATTTTAGAATTTTTTTAAATCATCTTTTTTACAAAGCTGAATAGATAATGATAAAGCGTAAGCTGCTGGCGGCCATTTTACTGAAGCCCGTAAGTGAAAACAACCAGAAATGCAGCCCAATAAACACAGCAATGGTGGAAGACATTCTCTTCAATGCTGTCCATTCCGGTCTGCCGGGCTACAAAAATTTGCTTGAAAAATTTGCACAATTTGCTTGAAAAATTAAAACATTTGTTTTTTCTTTTTTGCTATTTTTTTGTCTGTAGTTTCTTTCTTTTTTTATTTACAGAAAAAAATTACAAATTTAAAGCGATAATACACTTTAAATTTTTATTATATATATTTTTTTTTAATCGTCTTTTTTTTACAAAAGCTGAATAGACAGATAATGATAAAGCGTAAGCTGCTGGCGGCCATTGTACTGAAGCCCAGCTAGGAATGCAGCCCAATCAACACATCAATGGTGGAAGACATTCTCCTCAATGCTGCTCATTCTGGTCTGCTGGGGCTACAACAATATGGACGAGAAGAGCCAATCGCTGAAGAGCCTGCCTTTTACCCATGATGCTCAGCATTGGGGAAGGGGGATGGGCACTATTGTTGCAGGAAGCGAGTGGAGCAGAGGGAGAGCAATGGAGCCAGATTGCAAGCGTCTGTCCGAGCAAATATTACAGCTCGCCCTGGACATCATCTACCTGCTGACCGGAGAGGTGAGGAGGATTCTGTTAGGTTCATTTTATTTTTTTCCGATACCTGCCCGACAACGCGGTTTACAACAGTTTAATTTCAAGGACAAATCACGAGGAAGTTGCTAATTGAGAAATATTTTTCTTACTTTTTTATTTATTTTTTTATGATTATTTTTGTGTTATTTTTGTTTATTTTTTATTATTGCTTTTTATGATTATTTTTATCGTGTTATTATTTTGTTGTTATTACTTTTTTTGCTTAATTTTTCTTAACTGAATTATACATTTTTTAAACAGCTGCTCGCAACTGGATACAATATTACCGGCATTTTGTAGGTTTTTTTTTAAATGAAAGTAACAATTGTTTAATTTTTAAGATGTTTTTAAAAAAAAAAAAAGAATTTCGGTAACCAACAAAGACGAAAGTATATATTACAAAAATAATAATTTTGGCAATTTTGCTAGCAAGCTGCTAAAATCTCATGGGCGGCCATTTATTTATTTGACAGATTTGTTGGCATTTTTTTGCTTTGTATTGTCGCCGACTAAAATGGCTAAAAATGGAGTTAAAAAAAGGTTTATTTGTAGCATGTGTTTGGGCTCACAAAATAAGCCAATGATAAGTCACATGCTCTTATCCCAGATGTCCAACCACCAAGCTGTCAAAGCACAGAAGGATCACCAGACCCTTCTAATCCTGAGGAACCTTCTTCCAATACTTTGGATACAGCTACAAAGAAAGATAATAAGATATTTTCATGTTCTGAATGTGGAAAAGGTTTTACATCGATCTCCTCTCTCAGTGGACATCAGAGGACACACACGGGGAAGGGTCCGTTTTTCTGCTTGGAATGTGGTAAAGGTTTCACCCGGAAGCGCGCTCTCGTTTTTCACCAGAGCTCCCACACCAACGAGGGCCCGTTCCCTTGTCTGTATTGCAACAAACCCTTCATGAAAAAACATGACCTGCTCCAACACCAGAAGCTGCACGTCCGTAAACCGCCCATTTCTTGTTCCGAGTGCAAGAAGTCCTTCAGAAATAAACAAGAACTTGTTCAGCACCAGAGAATTCACACTGGGGAAAAGCCCGTCTCGTGTCCAGAGTTCATGGAGGAGAAAGAAAAGTCTTCTGTGAGGAGTGATCAGCTGCCTGTGCAGGAAGATGAAGTGATCACAACCATAATAAAGGAGGAATATTTTCTAGATAACAACACGGGTAAGTATCAGACACAAAGTGCCGCACTTCTACTTTGTTGGTCTACCATTCAAAATGTGAAGTAGTACAATTTTTGGCAACTATAAGTTGGCCATTCCTCAATATAATGTCATGTGACCAACAAATGAGGAGATACTGTACACCATATGAAGGTCCATCGGTATATGTACATCTTATCTGACCTCTATCCTTGTGTACTAGACCTCAGAGTTGAGAACCAGGCCAACATACATGACTACGTGCTGCAATATATGAACAATGAACACGCTGGTATTAATAACAATAATATAATTGTTCTTCATAGGTGGACATGACGACTGGAAACCTTCAGAGGAACATCTCACGTTACCTCCAGATTATAGGGAAGAAGATAACAGCATGGCACAATATTCTCCAGGAGTAAGCCTTGGTGCCCAGTATACACATCACAGACTGAATGTGGAGATATCAACAGATCGGTTTAATTCTGGGGAACCCAATGAAAAATCACATACTACGATTCCAAATGTCCAACCAAGCTGTCACAATGCAGATGGATCACCAAACAACCCAGAGGAATCTTCTTCCAATAAATTGGACACAGTTACAATGAAAGACAATAAGACGTTTTCATGTTCTGAATGTGGAAAAGGTTTTACATCGATCTCCTCTCTCAGTGGACATCAGAGGACGCACACGGGTAAGGGTCCGTTTTTCTGTTTGGAGTGTGGGAAAGGTTTCACCCGGAAACGCGCTCTTGTTTTTCACCAGAGCTCCCACACCAACGAGGGCCCGTTCCCTTGTCTGTATTGCAACAAACCCTTCATGAAAAAACATGACCTGCTCCAACACCAGAAGCTGCACGTCCGTAAACCGCCCATTTCTTGTTCCGAGTGCAAGAAGTCCTTCAATAATAAACAAGAACTTGATAAACACCAGAGAATTCACACCGGTGAAAAGCCCGTCTCGGGTCCAGAGTTCAAGAGAGATGAAGAAAAGACTTCTGTGAGGGGTGATCAGCTGCCGGTGCAGGAACGTGAAAAGAGTAGGACAAGAATAAAGCGGGAATCTTTTCTAGATATCAGCACAGGTGAGTACTGTTGAGAACACGTCTCCCCTTCTGTAGAGTCCAGTGGCGGCGTGCTTTACACCACGGCATCCCACTTGCCACATGCTGAGGTGTAGACCAGGCATCCTGTCGCACACAGACCTCCTCCCAAGGAGGGCCCCAGGGGAGAGAGAGAGTTCTGGAAGGTGTCCCCAAACCTTTATCGCCTTGCTCCAGCCATACCTCTGAGTCAGCCTGCTCAGGGATTGGTCAGAGTCAGGTGCATAGTCACAGCCTGAGGATGGATCCTCCCTCACTGTATGCTGAGGCCCCAACCCAGCAACAGGGGGAAGCAATCAATCCACCAGGCCCAGGGAAACCTGCAGAACTCAGAAATCAGCATCCAGACTGATTACAGTCCAGATATAGAACTAAATTTAGTAGCGACATAGCAGAGGACGCTACACAATATAATGTACATCTCAAGCCAAGGCGCCATAGTTACTTTGGTTGTATCCTCCGCAGTATTTGACTTCTATCTTTCGCTGCCAGAGCTCTAGGGGTGGTTGACTCTTAGACCAACATACGTGATTCTTGACCTCAAGCGTGAAGAAGGAGCATAATTGTGTTAATAAAACATTTATTTCCAACAGGTGGACCTGATGGCTGGAGTACCCCCGAGGGACACCCCATTTTACCTCCAGATTACAATGGCGTGGTACACTGTTCTCCTGGAGTAAGCCTTGCCAGCCAATACGCACATCACCGACTGGATAATATGCTGAGATCAACAGAGCTGCTTAATTCTGAGGCATCCAATAATAAATCCCGCCCCGTCATCCCAAATGTCCAACCAAGCTTCCACAGAGCAGATGGAGCTCTACACCATTCCAACCTGGAGGAGTCTTCTCCCAATAACCCGGATACAGTTACAAAGACATTTCCATGTTCCGAGTGCGGAAAATGTTTCACCTCCATCTCATCACTCAGCGGGCACCAGAGGACGCACACGGGGAAGGGTCCGTTTTTCTGTTTGGAGTGCGGGAAAGGTTTTACCCGGAAACGCGCTCTCGTGTTCCACCAGAGCTCCCACACCAACGAGGGGACATTTCCTTGTCGGCACTGCAATAAACCGTTCCTAAAAAAACATGACCTGGTTCTGCACGAGAGAACTCACGCGTCTGAAGCGCTCTTTTCTTGTTCTGACTGCATGCAGTCCTTCAAAAGTAGCCAAGAACTTGCTCAACACCAGAGTATTCACGTGCGGGAAAAACAATTTGCGTGTTCTCAGGTCAAGGAAGAGGAAGAAGAAATGCAGGTGGGGGGTAATCAGCTGTGTATGCAGGAAGAAGGAATTATTACAACAATTATAAAGGAGGAGTCTCCTCTGGATAGTGGCACGGGTAAGTATTAGACACACGATGTAGGGCCTCGTAGTTTAATTTTAGTTCCGGATTTTGGGGGTACCCATGCTTTGCCAAGGTGGGGTAAAGCGTTCAACCTAACCTTGCCTGCCCAGCAGTATATACAGTACTTGATCCCCCTCACCCCACTAACTAAGTTTGGCTGCCATCAGCTAATATAAGTGGTGCGGGAGTGATGGATAGGTCCATCCCCCTAGTGATGGACCACCTAGTGATGGACCACCTAGTGATGGACCACCTAGTGATGGACCACCTAGTGATGGACCACCTACTGATGGAACACCTAGTGATGGATCGGTGAGTATCTGCTTCTGGGGGTAGTTAGGCCTTTGCCTTCCATGGAATTCAGACTGATTGAAAGTGAGGAACAATCGGCAAACCTTCACCCCATCCAGAGAGAGGAGACGGACGATTATAAGTTGTAGACCAGAAAAGTTGGGATCCCAATTTTATTAGTAAACTATTCTAAGTTGACCCGAAAAAGTCGTTGTTTCTTGATGAGTTTTTAGCAAAAAATGGAGAGTTCTATATTTTCACCCAGTGTGCACCATACAAGGAAAATCAATGTTCTCTCATATACAGAACTCCTTCAACCTATAATAAAAATATTTCCATTATTCAGTCATCCCGTGAGCTAGTGTGTCTCCAACAACTGAGGTACTGTACTCTATGGAAAAGGTCCATCTCCATTCCTCAATATAACGTCATGTCCCCAACAAATGAGGAGGAGATCCTGTACACCATATGAAGGTCCATCTCCATTCCTCAATATAACGTCACCTTACCAATAAAGTAGTAGAGATACTGTACATCATATACTCATAGACGGACCTTCCATACGGTATCCAGTATCTCCTCCTCATTTCTTGGGGACATGACGTTATATTGAGGAATGGAGATGGACCTTCATATGGTGTACAGTATCTCCTCATTTGTTGGTCACATGACGTTATATTGAGGAATGAAGATGGACCTTCATATGGTGTACAGTGTCTCCTCCTCATTTGTCGGGGACATGACGTTATATTGAGGAATGGAGATGGACCTTCAAAATAAGAAAAGTTACTATGCACCATATGAAAGGTCTCCTTTTCTCAGTGTAACTTGGTTTCCAACCAATGAGGTGGAGGAAGGTCCATCTCTGTTCCTCGCCATAACAATGTCAGCAGTGTATGTACACCTTGACCCAGTGAGCCAATGTTGGTTTGGTTGCATGGTACATTTCTTCCCAACAGGTGAAAACAATGGTTGGAATACCTCAGAGGAACATCATAATGTATCTTCAGAAGACGATGGCGTGGTACTTATTTCTCCAGAAGGAAGCGTTGCCACTCAAAACATAGATCAGACGCAGACAAAAAAGTGCTCATTTTCCTGTTCAGAGTGCGGGAAAGGCTTTACCGGTAATCACGCGCTCATTAACCACCAGCAAACCCACACCGACGAGCGCCCGTTTCCTTGTGCCGATTGTGGCAAATGCTTCAAGGTTCAATGTTGTCTTGAGCGGCACGCAAAACTTCACGAACAATACGCGAACGCTCAGGATTCCTTGTCCTGCTTGGAGTGCAGCAAGTCATTTAAAAAGAAATATGAGCTCCACGTCCATCAGATGGGCCACAGCGGTAAGGAGATCTTCTCTTGCCCGGACTGCGACAAGTTGTTCGTTAGAAGAAATGAGCTGGCGGTCCATCGGAGAATTCACACCGGCGACCTTCCCTTCTCGTGCTCCGAGTGCAGGAAGTCCTTCAAAAGCAAACGAGACTTCGTTCGTCACCACAGTATCCACACCAGGGAGAAGCCCTTCTCGTGTTCCGAGTGCGGGAAGTGTTTCCCCTTCATATCGCAACTCAGAACGCACCAGATAGTCCACACGGGCGAGAAGCCCTTTATCTGTCCTGATTGCGGCAAATACTTCCCCAGTAAAGGGAACCGCGATAAGCACATGAGAGTTCACACCGGGGAGAGGCCGTTTTCCTGTCCAGAGTGCGGGAAATGTTTTGCACAAAAAGGGACGTTAATCATCCACCAGAGAACGCACACACCCTGAGGCCGCTGAAAGATCACAGTGGCGGGATATGGATGGGGGCGTTCTGTCCATGGGACAACTATGGGGCAGTTTGTGATGGTCTGCTGACCAAAATTGGATATTTTAGTTTCAGGGGTTTTGGGGGTAAACTCTGTTTTTGTATTTCATTATTTGGGGGTTCTTTTACATTCACATGTGAGGAGCTCTCTGGAATCTCCATCCATCCAGACCTGCTCCCACCTTTGTTCCTAAACCAGCCTCACCTGTACTCCCCTTTCTCTCAACATCCATCACACCTGCACACCCCCTTTTCTCAGTACCAAGTACACGAACAGCCCCTCTTTTTTTACAGCCCATTGTGCCTGCACCTCCCTTTCTCTCAGCACCCACCCCAACTGCACCTCCCTTTCTCTCAGCACCCACTCCACCTGCTCCCGCCTTTGTTTCTAAACCATTCACACCCGTACCCTACGCTCTCTCAACACCCATCACACCCCCTTCTCTCAGTACCCACTGCCCACCAAGCCTGCCATTCCCTCAACACCCACCATGCCCGCACCCCACCTTCTCTTACCACTCACTACACCAATGCACCAATGAAAGGAGAGCTCAGCGTCAAGGATTAGGCCGAGCGCCCTGGCTTGAGGGGAGGGGTGAGTCCTTTTTGAAGGGAAGCAGTGACACCGCTGGAAAATATCTACAAGTATCTTGTACAATTTTACGAATTTCTATTATGCTGGAAGACGAGATGAGCAACGCAACCCTAAGCCAAAGAAAAAACCAGAACCCATCAAACTGGACGCTCTCTATGAATATATTATTACAATATAAAGTCACTTATTCTGTATTGTGATTAGGGATGAACATCAAATAGTGATATTGATCAATTGGTGAAATTGATTTTGCCACAATTGACTTTCAGGTCTCCAACATTTTTGCCAAAATTTGCTTGAAATGTCACCATATGGGCGGATTAGGTCTGAACGTTGGCGTTGATGCTGTAGTTCACTGGCACACCAGTGGTCTAATATTTGTAAATTAACACTTATTGTGTATAAGGTTGGTGAACCCTGAGGCTGTAGATCTTGATCTAACTAATCGATTATGAAAATAATCGTTAGCTGCAGCCCTATTGAAATCATCTCTGAATTGGTACTGACACTGTCCTTGGTGCATCCAAGTACCTTAACTACAAAATTACGGATTTGGAGCTAACCAAAATTTTGTCAAAATTTTCCTCCAATGTCTCCATATGGGCTGATTAGCTCTGGAGGTATCGAAATTGCCACCAATCTTGCACTATAGCGGTTGACTAATGGAAAAGGTTGGTGACCCCCAGGCTGTAGATCCTCAAATCCTCTCCGGGTTGGTGCTAACACTGTCCTTCCTTCTGGAGGGGAGCTACGTCTGTTCTCCATGGTTCCTGTGTGTGTTGTAAAGTAGTCACCGCTCCAAGCTCACTTCCGGCATGGACTACAATCTCAATACAAATTAAAATGTAGTCCATCACAGGAGTGAGCTTGGAACAGTGACTACTTTACAACACACACGGGGCCCTGGGGAACAAACGTAGCCACCCTCCAGAAGGAAGGACGGTGTCAGCACCAATTCAGAGATGATTGGAGGATCTACAGCCTCGGGAAGCAACCTTTTCCATTAGACAACCACTGTAGCGCAAGATTGGTGGCAACTTCTGCACCTCCAGAACTAAAATTTTGGTGAGCTCCAAATCCGTAATTTTGTAGTTAAGGTACTTCCATGCACCAAGGACAGTGTCAGCACCAATTCAGAGATGATTGTAGGATCTACAGCCTCGGGGGTCACCAACCTTTTCCATTAGACAACCACTATAGTGCAGGATTGGTGGCAACCTCCAGAGCTAATCAGCCCATATGGTGACATTTGAGGCAAATTTTGCCAAAATTTTGGATGAGCTCCAAATCAGTAATTTTGTAGTTAAGGAACTTCGATGCAATTTTTTGATTTAGCTCCTGAGTTCAGTGTCACGTTAACAAATAAATCAATATAAGCTTCAGGTGGCAGCCATTTTATTGTAGCCAACGTATGAAGATTTGCCAAATAAACACTCCAAGTGTCTAGGAAAAACATTCTTGACCATAATATAACACCGAACTGTGTGTCCCATCTGGCTTGTTGGGCTACAACAAAATGGCCGAGGACAACCAATCACCTAGGAGCTTGCCTTTTACCCATGATGCTTAGCACTGGGGGATGGGCACTATAGCTGCAGGATTGAGTACAACAGAGTGCAAGCAATGGAGTCAAACTGCAAACGTCTGACCGAGAGGATATTACAGCTCACCCTGGAGATCATCTACCTGCTGACCGGAGAGGTGAGGCGCTCGCCCCCCATTCTTTTTTTTTTTTACTGATATCTGGCTGGCAAAAAAAATTTCCTCCAGTCTTTTTTCCCCAATCACAAATCACCAGGATATTGCTAATTGGTTACAATTTTTTTTATTGCAATTTTTTTTTTTTTATCTGACCGACAACTCTTTAAAATATGGGGAAAAAAATATTTTTTACTGTCGATTGTTTACTAAGTTGTACAAATTTTTTTTTTTTACAGAATTTGTGTTAGTGACCGCCGGCTCATTACAAATTGTATTTAAAGGTTTGCTGCCGAAATATTAGATATATAATGTATTATTTTTAACTGTCCATTGTTTACTAACTTACACAATTATTTTACAGAATTTTTGTTAGTGACAGCTGGCTTATTAAATTTTTATTTTAAAAGGTTTGCTCCTGAAATATTATTATACATTTTTTTTCTTTAAACTGTCCAATTACCAATCCAATTGTATTACCTGTTAAAAAATAAACTGTCTATTGTATACTAACTTACACAATTCTTTTATAGAATTTATTTTAGTTCTATAATATTTAATTTTTGTTACTGTTGATCGTATACGAAGTTGTACATTTTTTTTTTCTTTACAGAATTTGTGTTAGTGACAGCTGGCTCATTATATATTTTTTTTAAGAATTTATGTTAGCGACATATACATTTTTTAAACATTTGCTGCTAAAATATTTAAACATTTTACCAAAATATTTGTAACTTACAAAATGGATAAAAATTAGTGTTTTCATTAAAAAAATATATATTTTTGTTCTAGAAAAGGGAAAGCGCAGCTAGGATGTCCAAACGTATCTGACGGCTTTCTCTTCAAAGATCTGTTGGACTGTCTATAGCAGACCTGGGCATTCTATGGCCCGACCTGCGCTCGGTTATGATTCGCTGACACTGGGTGCCCCGGCTTTCAAAGCTGGCGCATCCACTGCGAGCCATAGCCCAGCACAGGCTCCTCCCCTTCAGTCGTTGGAGTCCTAGCAACCAATGATGTCAGGTGTCCAGAGAAGCAGCTGCCTGAGGTCCCCAGCAAGCACAGGACCTCAGGCAGCTGCAGCTTGTAAATAAGCACTGGCCCCCACATCTCCAGCTCCTTCCAGACAGCACGCTGCCCACCTCCAGACCCCTGGGGAGACCCCTTCACTTCCTGCACAGCACTCCTGAAAGCTTACATAGCCCACCTGAGACCAAACACAGCCATCTGAGAGTCGGCATAGCCCACCTGAGACCCCACACAGCCATCTGAGAGCCCACCTGAGACCCCACATAGCCATCTGAGACCCCACATAGCCCACCTGAGACCCCACACAGCCATCTGAGAGCCTGCATATCCCACTTGAGACCCCACACAGCCATCTGAGAGCCCACCTGAGACCCCACACAGCCATCTGAGAGCCCACCTGAGACCCCACACAGCCATCTGAGAGTCCGCATAGCCCACCTGAGACCCCACACAGCCATCTGAGAGTCCGCATAGCCCACCTGAGACTCCACACAGCCATCTGAGAGTCCGCATAGCCCACCTGAGACCCCACACAGCCATCTGAAAGTCCGCATAGCCCACCTGAGACCCTGCACAGCCATCTGAGAGTCCGCATAGCCCACCTGAGAGTCCCTATAGCCCACCTAAGAGCTCACCTAGCCCATCTGAGAGTGCGCATAGTCCACCTGAAAGCCTGTATAGCCTACCTGAGAGTGCGCATAGCTCACATGAGAGCCCGCACAGCCCACCTGAGACCCTGGAGACATCAGGGCGCCACCCCAGAGCAACAAAGTATGTAGCCCCCTTGCTGTCTCTTCTTGCTCTCTCCTCTATATTCTCAAAAAAAATTGCTGCACGTGGCGCTAGAGTGTTCGGGTTTCACTTGAAGAAAAGGAGGCAGCCCTAAGCCAACTCAAAGGATGAGATTCAAAAATGAGGAGAAACCTCAAGACCTTTCAGGAGGAGATGTCATCACCTAAAGCTCCACCAGTGTATAGGTTTCAGTAGAAGACTTAGTTGGCTCAGAAGCGTATACAGTGATTATTATTTCCCCTCCACAGGACAACATACTTGTGAAGAAGACATCCGGAGATGGACCGGATTCCATTATGGTTCCTCTACATTCCTTACTGACCTCAGAGAGAAGCAACAAGAAAATTCTAGATGCCACCAACAAGATGATTGAGCTGCTGACAGGAGAGGTGAGCGGTGCCGGGAATTCTGGGACATGATCCAGGAACAGACAAGGGATGTGTCTGGATGGTGACTGTATCATTGTGTGTGTCAGGTTCCTATAAGGTGTCAGGATGTCACTGTCTATTTCTCCATGGAGGAGTGGGAGTATCTAGAAGGACACCGGGATCTCTACAAGGACGTCGTGATGGAGAATGAGCCGCCCCTCACATCACCGGGTAAGAGGAGAGGGCAGTACGGAGGGTCCACCTAGATCCCCCATCATCTGATACACACATAGAAACAATGTATTCAGTCAGTGTGTGTGTTTCCTACAGATGGATCCAGTAAGAGGAACCCACCAGAGAGATGTCCCCGTCCTCTGTATTCCCGGGATTCCACACAGGAAGATGACACAATTCCTAACCTGGATCAGGTACGAGATCTGTTATCATCGATAGCTCCATTGTGATCTGTGCACTAGCTGCATTTTTTAAATTATTTTGTTTTACATTCAGGGAGAAAACTGGAGTAACTTTAATATTACTATCAAAAAAGAGATAAAAAAAGAAGAGGAGGATGGTGTGATGGAGGAGTGGGAGTATTTAGAAGGACACCAGGATCTCTACAAGGATGTCATGATGGAGAATAAGCCGCCCCTCACATTACCGGGTAAGAGGAGAGAGCAGTACGGAGGGTCCACCTAGATCCCCCATCATCTGATAAACACATAGAAACAATGTATTCAGTCAGTGTGTGTGTTTCCTACAGATGGATCCAGTAAGAGGAACCCACCAGAGAGATGTCCCTGTCCACTGTATTCCCAGGATTCCACACAGGAACATCATGAGATCCCTCAGGCCCGTCCTCTGTATTCCCGGGATTCCACACAGGAACATCATGAGATCCCTCAGGCCCGTCCTCTGTATTCCCGGGATTCCACACAGGAACATCATGAGATCCCTCAGACGCGTCCTCTGTATTCCCGGGATTCCACACCAGAAGATCTCTGTAGTCCTCACCATGATCAGGTAGAATGAGCTGAAACTGTCCAACTAAACATAATCATACTGGATTATATTTTTGTGTGTGGTCTCCGGGTAATAGTGCTCGCACTCATATTATGATTTTAGGGGGAAGAAGTGATTGATATGAAAATTGAGGTCAAAGAGGAGGAACGGACGTATGTGAGGGGTGATCAGCTGTCTATGGAGGAAGCTGAGATGACATGGACAATTACAGAGGAGGAATCTTGCCTAGATATCACCACAGGTAAGTATTGCGTACATAACATGCAGCACGTCACATTTTACTTCATCAGGTTTAAGGGATGAGGATTGACTAAGAGAGAGGAAGAATCAGCAAACATTCACACCATCCAGTAAGGGACTCAATTGCAAATGGTGGACCAGAAATGTAGGGACGCTAGCTGACCTGGAAAAGTCTGTTTCTCCATCATTCATTGAGAGACACAGGAATTCAGTTGTGTTATACCGCCACCTACAGGAGGTTGGGACAATCGAAAAATAGTAAGTCTCTTTATTACCCCTCCTCCACCCAGCATACCCCAAATGTTGCTAGTGCACTAGAACGTTCCTTCAGGACACACATGTAGTTCCACCTGTTTTGGTGGGTTTCTACAGTTGCAGTTACTCAGGCTTACTGTTCCTTAGGCAGTGTCTTACCTTGGTCTTGATGTATCTGTCCATCTCCATTCCTCAATATGATGTCATGTCCCCAACCAATGAGGAGGAGATACTGTACACCATATGAAAGGTCCATCTCCATTCCTCAATATAACGTCATGTGACCAACAAATGAGGAGGAGATACTGTACACCATATGAAGGTCCATCTCCATTCCTCAATATAACGTCATGTGACCAACAAATGAGGAGGAGATACTGTACACCATATGAAGGTCCATCTCCATTCCTCAATAGAACGTCATGTCCCCAACAAATGAGGAGGAGATACTGGACACCATATAAAAAGGTCCATCTCCATTCCTCAATATAACGTCATGTCCCCATAAATGACTCCATGATGCCTAATTTCATGCCAGAATTCAGGTAAAAAACTGACCAGTAGACCAACATACGTGACTGACTGCAAAACATGAACAGTGAGCATTTTATTATCAATAATTTATTTCCAACAGGAAAACAAGATCTACAAGAATACAAGAATTCCTCAGAGAGACATCCTGTTTTATCTCCCGATTGTAATAAAGATGATTCCAGGACATCGTATTCTCCCGGAGCAAGCCCTGTCTCTGAAAGGACGCAGGCAGGGAAAGGTCCATTTTTGTGTCCCGACTGCGGGAAGTCTTTCACCCATAAACGTTCCCTCATTATGCATCAGCGAACCCACACCAACGAGCGCCCATTTCCTTGCCAGGATTGCGGCAAATGTTTCAAAGTGAAATTTTGCCTTGATCGACATGCGGAACTTCATGAAAACAAGGCTGCGTTGTCATGCTCGGAGTGCGGCAAGTCTTTCGAAAAGAGATCTGAACTCCATGTGCATCAAAGGAGTCACGCCGGCAAGGAGATCTTCTCTTGCCCAGACTGCGAAAAATCATTCATAAGAAAGTATGACCTGGTTGTACACCAGAGAGTCCACACCGGTGAACCACCTTTTTCATGTTCCGATTGCAAGAAGTCCTTTAAAAATAGGCGGGAACTCGTTCGGCACCAGAGAGTCCACACCGGGGAAAAACCCTTCTCGTGTTCTGTGTGCGGAAAGTCCTTCGCCCAGAAATCGCAGCTCAATACACACCAAGTGGTCCACACCGGGGAGAAGCCCTTTTCCTGTTCCGAATGCGGCAAATGCTTCCCCAGTAAAGGAAACCGTGACAAGCACATGAGGATTCACACCGGGGAGAAGCCGTTTTCCTGTTCCGATTGCGGCAAATGTTTTGCACAGAAAGTGACCCTAATTATCCACCAGAGGACACACACCACACCGGTGAGAAGCCCTTATGCCGTTCTGAGTGCGGCAAACACGTCCCCGGGAAAGGAAACCAGCGAGGAAGGCTTTTTCTGTTCCGATTGCGGCAAATGTTTTGCGGAGAAAGTGAAGCTAGTCCTCCACCAGAAAACACACACCACGCTAATAGTCAACCACAGAGCACAAACCACCTGAGGACGCCAGAACACTTACGGTAGAGTTCCATAGGCTGAAGAACAATCGTACGATAAAGATGAGTCGGCCCGAAAGGATCAGCCAACCCATTGGGAATGTTTTTAGTTTTATTGTTTTTGGTTTATTATTTATTGTGCATCTTCATGTTGTAGTTTCGCTTAAAACATTTTGCTCTTGTCCATTCTGGGGATTTACCCCTCTTCCTGTTGGGTTATTCGGCCAAGTATTAAGGGACAATCTCCCCAACGAGGACATAGGCATCAATGAGAACACGTTTTCATTGATGTCTATGTCCTTGTTGGAGAGACATAGGGGGAAGAGTTCGATCTGCTTTGTATGGCTGTACGTGTCCTTAGAGGAGAGACTTCCTGTCCCGTAACAGTTGTCACTGAAACAGGAAGTCATGGAACTCTACTCAACTGTCATACAGAAGCTCCCACCTTCTGAATTTCCACTTTAATGATTGAAGTTCTCTTGGTGGGTCTCAAACGGTCCTTCCTTCTTACTTCAGATATGCATTGCGTGACAGCAATAAAGTTCTCGTGGGTAGACTATGGCATAGACTCTTTTTTTGTACTGATACTTGTTCTTCATCAGCACGGCTAAAAGGGTGACTTATTGGAATTGGGCCTTTGGAGAAGCGTTTTTGTGTTTTCTAAGTAAAGAGATGGTAAATAGATAATCTGCTGAACATTCTAAAGAGGGGCATGAGAGCCCAAAATATCTAGTCTGTTGGCCTGTAGTTTGTTAAAAGGTACGGGTGGTCACGATGGGGCAATGGCAATGGGTGATGATGGGAGACCATGACAGAGTCACCCAATGGTCTTGGCCCTTTTTCAGTTCATCCAAAATTAAGGAGAAGATCTTATCAGATTTTAAGCTTTAAACTCATACTCATGATGATGAGGAGTGATGGGTGTAAAATGCAGGCCTTAATGTGGAGGCACTACTGGGCTACTGAATGCCATATCCACAGTGTACCCAGCTGTCCGTTCCTTCTCCTCTGGCCGCCACGTTCCTCCTCCTCTGGCCGACCTGTTCCTCCTCCTCTGGCCGACCTGTTCCTCCTCCTCTGGCCGACCTGTTCCTCCTCCTCTGGCCGACCTGTTCCTCCTCCTCTGGCCACCCTGTTCCTCCTCCTTTGGCCACCCTGTTCCTCCTCCTCTGGCTGCCCGTTCTTCTTCTTCTGCCCGCC